TAGTGGTAGACACAACGGGCAAGTGAGGAGGAGGAAAGAGACTATGAGAGGAGAGGAGGTAGTGGGCGGCAGCTGAAGCTGCTGGCACACGGCGCAACTGGAGCAACTGGCACACGGGCAACTGGAGCAACTGGCACACTGGCAACTTGAGCAACTGGCACACGGGCTACTGGAGTAACTGGCTCCGCGGCTAAAAGTAGCGGCAGACGAGCAACGGACTCACGGGCGACTGGAGCAACGGGCTCACGGGCGACTAGCGCAACGGGCTCACGGGCGACTGGCGCAACGGTCTCACGGGCGACAGGAGCTGCTGGCTTCTCGGCGACCACCCCCTTCAACCTCCCCAAACTATCCCACTCCCCCTGACACACACCCGCTGCTACACCGCTAGCTCCACTCCCCCTTCACCCCCCCTTAGTACCACTCCAACGGCTCCAACAAGTCCACCCCCCCTCAGCGGCAGCTGCAGCACAGGGAGACGGAGGAGGAGGAGGAGCAGGGAACGGCACACAGTGGCTTCACCCCCATACCCCTCACCCCCAAACCCTAATTTAGGAGAACGGGCTGTAGGAGGGGTGGGGCGCCAGTAGAAGCACGGGGGATAGCGGAGAGGGCAGGGGCAGCGAGGAAAGGGCCGCCCACGGGCCTGGCACAGCCGCCCGAACCGCGCGCAGGCGGCCCGAGCCGCGCGCGGGCCTAGCGCAGCCCGTACGGCCTGTATGGGCCGTGCGCAGGCCACGACGGGCGACGGGGGGCGACGCGCGGGTCCCCGTCGCCCGTCGCAGCGCCTCCCGAGGGCGACGCACCGAGTGACGGGGCAGAAGCCCGCCGCACGCCTCGGGGCGCATAGCGGGCAGAGAACCGCCGCGCGCTACGGGGCGCACGGTGGGTAGAAAACCGCCGCGCGCCTTGGGGCGCACGGCGGGAAGAAAAACTGCCGCACGCCACGGGGCGTGCAGCATAGAGGGTAGCAGTGGAAGTTGCAGCGGAAGCAACGAGGTGGTGAGCCCACCCACAGGATCGATCCAAGGGGATCGACCTGCTCTGATAGCATGTGAAAGTTTAAAAGAAAGAAGAGAGGAGGGGATTGCACTAGCAAGAATGAGGATACAAATAGCAAACCCTAGAAGGGTTGTACTCGCTGTAGAGCACCCCACTACAGGCTAGAGCATAATATTCTGACAGGTCGTTGCTGGCACGAACTTTCGAAGAAGGCTGACGTGGAAGGCGTCATGAATGCGCCAGCTGTCGGGTAGCAACAGCTTCGCGGTGACAGATGTCACCATCTTGAGAATCTTGAACGGTCCGCAAAATCGTGGCCGTAGTTTCGATGGACCGGGCAGGTGCAGGTTCTTCGTGTCAAGTAGCACTAGTTGCCCAGTTGTCAAGACGAGTTCCCGTCGGAGAAGGTCGGTGTATTTGCGGGAAGTAATATTCACCTTGCGGATTGCGTCTGCAGCTTTTTCTCGGACTTCCTGAAGTTCCGTCACGAAAGTGTGGGACCTCGGGACCAGGTTGTCGAGAGTAGTTGCCGTAGGAACTGTCGGGTCCATCCCGTAATTCAGGATAAATGGGGAGTGATTAGTCGTGTTGGACAGTGCGTTGTTGAAAGCGAATTCCAACATCGCGAGCGAGTCTTCCCAGCGGGCAGGGTCGGGGCAGTTTGTCCTGATCAGCTGCTCCATGGTCTGATTGGTCCGCTCGGTTTGACCGTCCGTCTGTGGGTGATATGTCGATGAGAACTATAGCTTCGTGCCGTACTGTGCCCACGTCTCCTTCCAGAACTTGGATGTGAACTTCGGGTCTCGATCGGTGATGATCGCCGAAGGGATGCCGTGCAATCGCACGACCGTTGAGATGAAGAGGCGCGCAGTTTCTACGGCTGTGATTGTCGTTCGGCATGGTGCGAAGTGCGCCATTTTCGTGAAGCGATCGACGACGACGAGAACAGCGTCGTTGCCGGACGGCCCAGCTGGCATCCCCGTGACGAAATCCATCGTCACTTGTTGCCACGGTCGTTCGGGTGGCTCGAGGGGTTGCAGCAGCCCAGCTGGTCGCTGACGTGTCGATTTCATTGCTTGGCACACCCTGCATGAGGACACATAGCGCTGCACGTCGTTAGATGAATCAGGCCAGTAATATTGACGGTGTAGTAGTTTCTGGGTTTTATCAACCTCGAAGTGTCCGGAGAAGTTTGAATCGTGGATTTCCTGGATGAGAAGTGTCAAACATTATATATGTTGTGTTAGTTTAGGCTACAGTGGGTTAGCCTATAGGGGGTACACAATGTCAGAATAATATATAACTCTATATATTGTTTTATAACTGCCTGTAGTGTAGAATACTGTAGTCATAGAAGTTTCTGTTTGGTGGTGCACCTTTCTTGTTTGTTCTTTCCTATTTGTACCCCCGCTCAATATTGAATCATCCTCTTTTGTCAAACTCTCTCGACCCCTTCCTCTCGTAACTCTCGTTCTACCCAACACCCTAGTACCTAAGTTTTGAATACTTCTGAGATGGTATCGAGCTAGATTTCGATCAATGGGCCCACCAATTTCGACCCTGTCATGGCGGCCCTCCCTCCCGACGACTTTCTACTGCGATCGGGCCGTCAGTGCGACCGTCGCGTGAAAATCCGCGACGGTTTCGATCGTCAGTGCGATCGACGGGGCGAAGGCGGCGCTCTGCTCGTCGCGCTGCCTCGTCGCCCCGTCGTTCGCGACCACGCTGCCCCGACGTCGCCTCGTCGCGCCTCCGTTTCGGCCCCCTATTCCGCTCGTCGCGCCCGAGCAGCTATCCCCGCCCACCCTCCCGCGGTCCCCACTGCATCTGTCGCACTTGCTGCTGCCGTGTGCGCTCCTACTGTGGGGGGAGGTCGTGGGAGTGGCGGACCATGGGGGAGGTGGTGTGTCGGGGCGACCGCTGTGGGCAGTCTGCAGCAGCTGCCGTCATCATTTGTCGCCCCATACGCGACTGTCGCTGTGGGGGGGAGGGTAAAGGGGTGGCGGGAGTGTACCCGCAGGAACCAACCGATGCCCTCCTCTCTCCTCTCTCTCCCTGCAGCGCCTGTCGCTGTGGGGGATGGGGGGGAGTGTGAGGGGTTGGTGAGAGAGATTTTGCAGCACCAACAGCCGTCCCCCCTCCTCTCTCTCTCACTGCTGCGTTTGCAGCTGTGGGGGGGAGGGTGAGAGGGGGTGGCGGAAGACAGGCGGGTATCTGCTGCTGCCGCCCGCTGCTACTTTGGCACCTCCAGCTGTTGCCCCTGTCGCCACCTGCCCTGTTTTCTGTTTTCTCCTGCTGGGGCCTGCAGGTGCTGCCGTCGAGCCGCTGCTGTCCTGCTGCCTGATGCAGCCACAGAGCCTGCTCCTTAGGCGACCTGCCGCCTCCCACACCTGTTACTACTTCTTCCTTGGCTGAGGGTTGGCTACAGCTGTTTCTGCCACTTTTGCACCGGTTACCACTGCTTTTGCCTGCATCTGTTTCTTCCGCTGCACCTGTATGGTGTACCCCATTATGGGGGCGTTGACTGCACTTTCTTCCCTACAGGCACTTATGGGGGCGTGTCAGAATAATATATAACTCTATATATTGTTTTGTAACTGCCTGTAGTGTAAAATACTGTAGTCATAGAAGTTTCTGTTTGGTGGTGCACCTTTCTTGTTTGTTCTTTCCTATTTGTACCCTCGCTCAATATTGAATCATCCTCTTTTGTCAAACTCTCTCGACCCCTTCCTCTCGTAACTCTCGTTCTACCCAACACCCTAGTACCTAAGTTTTAACTACTTCTGAGACACAATTCTAGGGTTAAGGTACTTGTACTCATTTCACTGCTAGTTCATTCATTCCTGTTCAGTGATTCCAACATGGTATAGAGCAGGTCCTTCCTAGGACCGAAATTTTCTAAGGGCCCACCACTACGTACCTACCTACCTGTGCCCTAGGGCGCCTCGGCGTGTCACGCCCCTAGAGGCCCCTCTTGACGGCCCCGCGCTAGCCCCGTTCAGGCCCCGTCGGCCCCTTTAAGGCCCCGTTCAGGCCCCGCGCTAGCCCCGTTCAGGCCCCGTCGGCCCCGTTTCAGGCCCCGTCGGCCCCGCGCTAGCCCCTCTCAGGCCCCGTCGGCCCACGCTAGCCCCGTTTCAGGCCCCGTCGGCCCCGTTTCAGGCCCCGTCGGCCCCGCGCTAGCCCCTCTCAGGCCCCGTCGGCCCCTTTAAGGCCCCGTTCAGGACCCGCGCTAGCCCCGTTCAGGCCCCGTCGACCCCGTTTCAGGCCCCGTTGGCCCCGCGCTAGCCCCTCTCAGGCCCCGTCAACCCGCGCTAGCCCCGTTTCAGGCCCCGTCGGCCCCGTTTCAGGCCCCGTCGGCCCCGCGCTAGCCCCTCTCAGGCCCCGTCGGCCCGCGCTAGCCCCGTTTCAGGCCCCGTCGGCCCCGCGCTAGCCCCTCTCAGGCCCCGTCAGCCCGCGCTAGCCCCGTTTCAGGCCCCGTCGGCCCCGCGCTAGCCCCTCTCAGGCCCCGTCGGCCCCGCGCTAGCCCCATTCAGGCCCCGATCGGGCCCGCACTAGCCCCGTTTCAGGCCCCGTCGGCCCCGCGCTAGCCCCGTTCAGGCCCCGTCGGCCCCTTGCTAGCCCCGTCAAGGCCCCGTTTGGCCCCGCGCTAGCCCCGCTCAGGCCAAGATCGGCCCCGCGCTCGCCCCTCTAGGGCCCCAACCGGACCCGTGCCCACAACCTAGAGGCCCCGGGCGGCCCGTTCCCGCCGCAGCAGACGAGGGAGAGCGGGCGGCCCGTCCCCGCCGTGACCCGAGCCGCGCGACCCGAGCCGCGCGCCCCGAGCTGAGCCGCGCGCCCCGAGCTGAGCCGCGCGCCCCGAGCCGAGCCGCGCACCCTGAACCGAGCCGCGCCACCCAGCCGAGCCGCGACCCGACCTGAACCGAGCCGCGCCGCCCTGCCCTACCTGGTTCGTCCTACCTGCTTCTCCTACTGCTACTGCTGCTATTTATACTGTTCCTATGGCTAGCCCACAGGTTCTCGTGTTCGATGCTGAGGGCCGCCCTGTGAAGTTTGACACCTGGCTCGATGACCTGCACCTCTACCTACAGCTCACAGCCAAGGATGACATCTCACTGTACGATCACGCCCTAGGCCATGTCACTGCCCCTGCTGCTACTGCTGATAGCACTGCTCGCTCACAGTGGCAGACTCGTGATGCCCACGCTCGCTTCGCCATTCGCAACTCCCTGTCGATAGACGAACGCGAGCACTTTGGTCAGCACAAGACTGCACAGGCACTATACACAGCTGTAGTTGCTCGCTACTCCTCACCTGCCTCTGCCGCACTAGGCCGTCTCTCCCTCCCCTACCTGTTTCCCGACCTGGCCTCCTTTCACACTGTCGCTGACCTCATCACGCACCTCCGTACTAGTGAGGCCCGCTTCCGTGCCGCCATGCCTGCTGAGTTCCTTGCCACGCACCCCCCTCCACTCTGGCTCACTCTCTACCACCTAGTCACCCGCCTCCCTGACACACTGCGTGCTGTCAGGGACCACTTCCTAGCTCGTTGCCCCACTGAGCTCACCATTGCCCTCCTCGAGAAGGAGCTACTTGCAGCTGAGACTAGCATAGTTGCTGTAGGTGCCTCTCGTGGCGACCCCCGTACCCCGTTCTTTGAGGGGTGTTCTCCTTCCCCCCTTCTTCCCTCTGTCGCCTCTGCTGCTGCTGTCGACCTTCTTGGTACTGAGAAGGTCGACGCTGCGTCTGCCTCGAGCGGACGCCGCAGCGGCAAGGGCAAAAGGGGCAAGGGTGGTGGCGGTGACGGCGGGGGAGGCGGCGGTGGGGGCGGTGGAGGCAGTGGGGGTGGTGGCTCGGCTGGAGGGGCGAGTGGTAGCGGTGGGGGTGGTGGCGGCAGCGGCGGGGGAGGTGGCAGGAGTGGAGGCGGCGGTTGGGGTGGCGGTGGACGAGGCGGCGGCAGGGGTTGGGGTGGTCGAGGAGGTGGCAGCGGTGGTGGTGGCCGTGGAGGCACTGGCGGTGGCCAGGGCCAGCAGCACACTCCCTCGCCCCAGGAGGTCCGTGAGTGGTACTCTCAGCACGGGGGTGGGGGTGGTCTTAGCTGCACGTACGTCATTCGCACTGGTGACCGCACTGGTCAGCAGTGTGGACGACCGCACGCCACACAGCGCTGCTTCTCTCGTCTCGACGACGCTTGGCGTGTTCAGTTCCCTCAGGCCACTGAGCTGCCCCGCTGGCTTGATCTCCTGAAGAAGGGGATTGATATCTATGCTCTAGACTTTGATGCTATTCTATCTGCCATGTATGTGATGTCTACTAGTGGAGAGGGTGCTGAGTACTTGTGTGTGCCGCCCGACCCGGGCATTAGGGCCAGTGCGTCTGCCGCTCCAGGTACTCGCGTGTCGGCTACCCCAGGTGCTGGTGAGGCTGCTGCTCTAGGTGCTCGTGTGTCTCCCCCCCTTGGTACTGCGTCGACTGCCGCACTGCACACCTTCACACTGGACTCAGGTGCTTCTCGCTGCTTCTTTCGTGACCGCACTGCCCTTGAGCTGCTTGCTCGGCCAGTTGCTGTCTCCCTTGCTGACCCCTCTGGGGGTCCAGTCATTGCGACCTCTTCCACTGTCCTTCCCTGCCCTGCGGTCCCGTCGGGCACACTGTCAGGTCTCCACCTCCCCTCGTTCTCTACGAACTTGGTGGCAGGATGTGCACTCCAGGACGGGGGTGTTCACCAGTTCACCCCTGCCTACGAGCGCGTGACACACTGCACGTGTGCTCGTACGGGCCGTCACTTGGCTACCTTCACTCGGCAGCCGGGGTCGGACCTGTACACACTGACTACTGAGTCCCCTCAAGTTGCTGCGACTGCGTCCGCGTCCGCGTCAGGTCAGCTGTCCGCCCCCTGCTCGTGTCGCTCTTTGGCACACGAGACTGTCCTATGGCACCACCGCCTTGGCCACCCGTCTGTGCAGCGCCTTCGTGCCATGCACTCCCGGTACCTTGTCTCTGGCCTGCCCAGGGTCCTTCCTGCCCTCCCACCCTCGCCTGCTCCTACCTGTCTCCCCTGTGTTGAGGGACGGCAGCGCGCCACTCCTCACTCCTCCTCGTTCCCCCCGATGACTGCTCCCTTGCAGACACTCCACATGCACGTGTGGGGCCCAGCCCGCGTCCGTGGTCAGGGTCAGGAGAGGTACTTCCTGATAGTTGTTGACGACTACTCGCGCTACATCTCGGTCTTCCCCTTGCGCACCAAGGGTGAGGTCCCTGATGTCTTGATCCCTTGGATCCGCAGAGCCCGTCTCCAGCTCAGCGAGCGTTTTCACTCGGACTTTCCTGTCCTGCGCTTGCACTCTGACAGAGGTGGTGAGTTCTCCTCCGACCTCTTGGCAGCCTACTATGCTGAGCACGGCATTGAGCAGTCGTTCACGCTTCCGGCTTCTCCACAGCAGAATGGGGTTGCGGAGCGCCGCATTGGCCTGGTCATAGAGGTCGCTCGTACCTCCTTGATCCATGCGGCTGCCCCCCACTTTCTGTGGCCGTTTGCGGTCCAGTACGCTGCGCATCAGCTCAACCTCTGGCCCCGTGTCTCCTTGCCTAAGACCTCGCCCACGCTGCTGTGGACGGGGGAGGTTAGCGATGCGTCGCGTTTCCGGGTCTGGGGGTCTCGAGCTTTTGTCCGCGATTCGTCTGCGGACAAGCTCTCCTCCCGTGCTGTTCCCTGCGTCTTCCTCGGCTTTGTCCCCGACGCGTCTGGTTGGCAGTTTTACCACGCCACCTCGCGTCGAGTCTTGCCCTCCCAGGACGTCACTTTTGACAAGTCCGTCCCCTACTACCGCCTCTTCCCCTACCGCACTGCCCCGCTCCCCCCCCCGCCTCTCTTCCTCGCGCCAGGTGCTGCTGTTGCAGACCCCCTCCCCCCTCAGGGTGCCGCTCCCTCAGATGTGTCTCAGGTAGACCCGGCTGAGCCTGTTGAGGTAGCTGTCGACTCTCGTCCTGCTGGGGGTACTGAGCCTGGGGGTGTGGAGCCTGGGGGTGTGGAGCCTGGGGGTGTGGAGCCTGGGGGTGTGGAGCCTGGGGGTGTGGAGCTTGAGGGTGCTGAGCTTGGGGGTGTGGAGCCTCGTGGTGCTGAGCTGCTGAGTCCGGAGTCTGGGGGTTCTGAGTCTGGAGGTACTAGGCCTGGGAGTCCTGCACCTGGAGGAGCCCTCTCCTCGGAGCAGCTGCGTGCGTGGTACTTAGAGTGCTGCAGCCTCCGGAGAGGTACCGCTCGAGCCGGACGTACTACTGGGACTAGTGCTAGTGCCTCTTCTCCCGTTCGGGAGCTCCCCTCCCGCGAGCGGATCCGTGAGTGGTACGAGCGGCGCTGCACTCTTCGGAGTGGCGTGCCTTGTGTTACGGACCCCGCTGCTGTTGGAGCTGCTGCTGGTGCTGAGGACCCGGGCGTTGGAGCTGCTGCTGGTGCTGAGGACCCGGGCGTTGGAGATGCTGCTGGTGCTGAGGACCCGGGCGTTGGAGCCGCTGCTGGTGCTACGGACCCGGGCGTTGGAGCTACTGCTGGTGCTACGGACCCGGGCGTTGGAGCTACTGCTGGTGCTGAGGACCCGGGCGTTGGAGCCGCTGCTGGTGCTGAGGACCCGGGCGTTGGAGCTGCTGCTGGTGCTGAGGACCCAGGCGTTGGAGCTGCCGCTGGTGCTGCGGACCCGGGCGTTGGAGCTGCTACTGGTGCTGAGGACCCGGGCGTTGGAGCTGCCGCTGGTGCTAAGGACGTGGGCGCTGGAGTTGCTGCTGGTGCTGCGGACCCTGGTGCGGGTGTCCCTCCTGGCTCTGGTGTCGCTGCTCGGTCTCGGCCGTACTTTGTTCCGCTCCTTCAGCAGGTTCTTGGTCAGCTTCCTCCTCCTTTTCCTCCTCCCTCCTTAGCGTGTCCTCCGCCTGTCCAGCTGCAGTCGGCGTTACCGTCTGCCTCCTCTCTCCCTGGTCCTGCTCCTTACACTGGTCTGACTGGAGGTCTTACTGAGCGGCGTGAGCCTGCGTCTCGTTCTGCGTCGCCTGAGTCTCGTCCTGAGTCGCCTGTCCGCACTGCTCTCTCTAGTAGTCGAGTCCAGCGTCAGCGTCTTCCTGCTGTCCCAGGCACTCACCGAATGGCGCTTCGTCCGTCCACTGCTCCACAGCGTGTCCCACTGCCGTCTCCTCCTGCTTCCTCTCTTCCTGCTCTTGCTGACCCTGGGTCAGACTCTCTTCGTGCTACCAGTCCTACTGTCACGCGTCTCCTGGCTACTGTTGTCACTGACCCTTCCTTTGAGTCTGCTGCTGCGTCTGCCTTAGTTGCTGAGCTTGTCGACTTTGCTGCTCGCTGTCGTCTAGACTACGCTACTAGCCTAGTTGCTGAGTCTGAGTCTGTCTGTCCTCCGTCCGTCGGGGGTGAGTGTGCTCTTGGCACTGACGTCCTTGAGGACAGGCAGGAGGAGTTTGAGTGCTTTGCTGCCGCTTTGCCCCATCTCGTGTCCATGCTTGTTGCCCCTGAGGGAGACCCGGATGCACCAGACATCCCGACCCCACGCTCTTACGCAGAGGCGATGGCCGGTCCCTACTCCTCTCAGTGGCAGTCAGCCATGGACACAGAGATGGCTTCCTGGAAGTCCACAGGCACCTACGTCGACGAGGTTCCCCCACCTGGGGCGAACATCGTCAGTGGCATGTGGATTTTCAGGGTGAAGCGGCCGCCGGGCTCTCCGCCTGTCTTCAAGGCGCGTTACGTTGCACGAGGCTTCAGTCAGCGAGAGGGAGTTGACTTCTTCCAGACCTTCTCCCCGACCTCGAAGATGACCACTCTTCGGGTTCTGCTGCACGTCGCCGCTCAGCGTGACTACGAGCTCCACTCGCTTGACTTCAGCACTGCTTTCCTGCAGGGCAGCCTGCACGAGGAGATCTGGCTGCGCCGTCCCCCTGGCTTCACTGGGTCGTTCCCTCCTAGTACCCAGTGGAGCCTCCGACGGCCAGTCTACGGTCTCCGCCAGGCGCCTCGTGAGTGGCACGACACACTGAGGACTACGCTTGCGGCTCTTGGGTTCGCGCCTTCTACTGCTGACCCGTCGCTGTTTCTACGCACCGACACCTCATTGCCGCCGTTCTACGTCCTTGTGTACGTCGACGACTTGGTCTTTGCTACTGCTGACACTGTGGCACTCGCCCACGTGAAGTCGGAGCTGCAGAAGAGACACACGTGCACAGACCTGGGTGAACTGACAAGCTATCTTGGCTTGCGGATCACCCGGGATAGAGCACGCCGCACCATCACCTTGACTAAGTCACACATGGTGCAGCAGGTCCTTCAGCGCTTCCGCTTCACGTACTCCTCGCCTCAGCCCTCTCCTCTGCCTACCGGTCACTCGCTCTAAGCTCTGCCTTCGGATGAGTCCGTAGATCCGAGTGGCCCGTATCCAGAGCTTGTGGGTTGCCTCATGTACCTGATGACCTGCACTCGACCTGACCTTGCATACCCTCTCAGCATTCTTGCACGCTATGTCGCTCCCGGCCGTCACCGGAAGGAGCACATGGATGCAGCTAAGAGGGTGTTGCGCTACTTGTGCAGTACGTCGGGCATGGGGCTAGTGCTTGGAGGGCGAGTCCCAGTTGTTCTCACTGGGCACTCAGACGCTTCTTGGGCAGACGACCAGGCTACTCAGCCGTCGTCTCAGGGTTACTCCTTCAGTCTTGGCTCTGGTTCTGTTTCTTGGCGTTCTACTCGCTCTTCTTCTGTTCTCAGCTCCAGTTGTGAGGCTGAGATCTACGCCACAGCCATGGCGGCCCAGGAGCTACGCTGGCTCACCTACTTGCTGACCGACCTTGGAGAGCAGCCTCGTTCTCCTCCAGTGCTGTACGTCGACAACAAGGCAGCCATTGCCTTGTGTGAGGAGCACAGACTGGAGCACAGAACGAAGCACATTGCTCTGCGTTACTTCCTTGCTCGAGAGCTGCAGCAGCGTGGTCAGCTTCGCCTGCGTTACGTGGCCTCTGAGGCCAACACTGCTGATGTGTTCACCAAGACGCTTCAGCCTTGTGACCATCAGCGCTTTTGCACTCTTCTAGGCCTTGTGCCTACTGAACCTCACTTGCTTACTTCTTGAGTCTGTTTGTACTGTGATCTCTATATAAGAAGCTCACGCAGCAGTCGGTAAGCGGGAACCCAAATCCGGTCGGTTCCTGCTTTTAGGTTATAGTTCCCTTTCTGCGTCGTAGCCTGCTGATGATTTTGTTAGAATAGAAACGAGAATAAATGAACTATGAATGAATTGGGTACAAGTACTAACCCTAATGGGGATGTACCCCTTATGGGCTACCCCACTATAGCCTACACAATATGCATGAGCTATAATGTTCTGACACACCCCCATAGGCAAAGTGGGGGAGAACAAGGGGTCACAAGACCAGTCAAGCAAAGCAAGCTCAGGGTGGATCACAAAGTCACCACACATGCAGGAGTACATATATATAAAAAGGCTAGACAAGCAAGAGCAGGTATATATATATGTAACAGTACAAGCAAGGTCAAGAGGTGAGCAAGTGAGGCAAGGTAGGCACAAGGCCCAGCTGAGTACAGAAGTGCTGATGGTCACAAGGCGCAAGCGCCTTGGTAAAGATATCAGCAGTGTTGGCCTCAGAGGCGACGTACGCAAGACGCAGCTGCCCACGCTGCTGCAGCTCACGAGCAAGAAATTAGCGGAGAGCAATGTGCTTCGTTTTGTGCTCCAATCGCTGCTCCCGACACAAGGCCAGCATGGCCTTGTTGTCTACGCACAGCACTGGAGGAGAACCAGGCGGCTCTCTGAGGTCAGTCAGCAGGTAGGTGAGCCAGCGAAGCTCCTGTGCAGCCATGGCTCCTGCGTAGATCTCAGCCTCACAACTGAAGCAGAGAACAAAAGACGAGCGAGTAGCCCGCCACGAAACAGAGCCGGAACCAAGGCTGAAGGTGTAACCCTGTGACGACCGCTGCGTAGCCTGGTCATCAACCCAAGAAGCGTCTGCGTGCCCAGTAAGGACCACTGGACTCTGCCCTCCAAGCACAAGCCCCATGCCCGACGTACTACACAAGTAGCGCAACACCCTCTTCGCTGCAACCATGTGTGACTGAGTAAGGGTAATGGTGCGGCGTGCTCTGTCCCGAGTGATCTGCAAGCCAAGGTAGCTGCGCACTTCACCCAGGTCAGTGCACGTGTGTCTCTTCTGCAGCTCGGACTTCACGTGGGCGAGTCCGGCAGTGTCAGCTGTGGCAAAGACCAAGTTGTCGACGTACACGAGGATGTAGAACGGCGGCAAAGAAGTGTCGGTGCGCAGAAACAGCGACGGGTCGGCAGTAGAGGGAGCAAAACCAAGAGCCGCAAGTGTAGTCCTCAGTGTGTCGTGCCACTAACGCGGTGCCTGGCGGAGAACGTAGACTGACCGCCGGAGGCTCCACTGGGTGCCAGGAGGAAAAGACCCAGTGAAACCAGGTGGGCGACGCAGCCAGATCTCCTCGTGCAGGCTGCCCTACAAGAAAGCAGTGCTGAAGTCAAGAGAGTGTAGCTCGTAGTCACGGTGAGCACCTATGTGCAGCAGTACCCAAAGAGTGGTCATCTTCGGGGTGGGAGAGAAGGTCTGAAAGTAGTCAACTCCCTGCCGCTGACTGAAGCCACGAGCCACGTAACGCGCCTTGAAGACAGGCGGAGAACCCGGCGGTCGCTTCACCCTGAAAATCCACATGCCACTGACGATGTTTGCCCCAGGAGGGGGAACAGCGTCAACGTAGGTGCCTGTGGACTTCTAGGAAGCCATCTCTGCGTCCATAGCTGCCTGCCACAGAGAGGAGTAGGGACCTTCTATCGCCTCCGCGTAAGAGCGCGGAGTCGGGATGTCAAGTGCATCCGGGTCTCCCTCAGGGGTAAGCAGTACGGACACGAGATGAGGTGAAGCAGCGGTCAAGCACTGGAACTCCTCCTGCCTGTCCTCAAGGACGTTCGTGCCAAGGGCACACTCACCCCCGACGGACGGAGGACAGACAGACTCAGACTCAGCAACAAGACTGGCGGCGTAGTCTAGGCGACAGCGAGCAGCAAAGTCGACGAGCTCAGCAACTAGGGCAGACGTAGAAGTGGACTCAAAGGAAGGGTCAGTGAAAACAGTAGCAAGGAGACGCGTGACAGTAGGACTGGTAGCACGAAGAGAGTCCGACTCTGGGCCGGCAAGAGTAGGAAGAGAAGACTTAGGAGGAGAAGGCAAAGGGGCACGCAGAGGAGCAGTGGACGGACGCGGAGACATCCGGTGCGTGCCAAGGACAGGAGGAGGACGCTGACGCGAACCGCGACCACTAGTGCGAGCAGCACGGACAGGCGACGCAGGGCGAGACGCAGGCTCACGACGCTCAGCAAGACCTCCAGTAGGACCAGTGTAGGGAGACGGAGCAAGCAGTGGGGAGGCCGGCTGTAACTGTAACTGCGACGGGACAGGCTGTGGACACCCTAAGGGAGGAGGAGGACCAGTAGAAGACGGGAGACCAAGAACCTGCTGAAGGAGCGGAACGAAGTACGGCCGAGGCCGCGCGGCGACTCCAGACACAGCAGGGACAACACCAGCACCCCCAGTGGCAGCACCAGCACCAGTAGCAGCTCCACCTCCTGTACCCCCACTAGCACCAGTAGTACCCCCAGCAGGACCGCCTCCAGGACCGACAGTAGTAGCCTCCGCGCCAACACCCGCAGCAGCTCCAGCTCCAGAAGTACCCGCAGGTCCAGCAGCTCCAGTACTCCCAGTACGAGCACCTCTGGGACCCGTGGCACCAGCTCCCTCAGCAGCAACAGAACCTGCAGTACCCGCAGCACCTCTAGCTCCAGCAGCTCGCCTCCAGCGCCGGGCAAACCACTCACGCAGCTCCTGTGGAGAGAGTGGCTCTTGGCGAGAAGAAGCACCCGAAGAACCGCCAAGCACAGCACCAGCAGGCCGAGCTCCCTCAGGCTCCGCACCCCCAGGCTTAGCACCTCCAAGCGTAGCACCCCCAGGCTCAGCACCCCCAGGCTCAGCATCCCCAGGCGTAGCACCCCCAGGCTCAGCACCCCCAGACTCAGCACCCCCAGGCTCAGCACCCCCAGTCGTAGTACCCTCAGGGTCAGCACCCCCAGGCGTAGCACCCACACGCTCAGCACCCCTAGAGTCAGCACCCCCCGGCTCAGCACCCTCAGCAGCACCAGAGTAACCAGCGACCTCGACAGGCTCAACGGCGTCTACCTGGGACACACCTAAAGGGGCAGGACCCTGAGTGGGGAGGGGGTCTACTGGGGGGGGACCTGGTACAAGGAAGAGCGGTGGCGGGGGGAGGGACAGAGTGCGGTAGGGGAAGAGGCGTAGTAGGGGACCGACTCGTCGAACGTGACGTCCTGGGAGGATACATCACGGCGAGAGGTGGGGTGGTAGAACTGCCACCCTGGGGCGTCAGGGGGGAAACCCAGGAAGACAAAAGGAGCAGCACGAGGGGACAGCTTGTCCGTAGACAAGTCGTGGACAAACGCCCGAGATCCCCACACACGAAAAGCAGACGCATCGCCAACCTTCCCCGTCCACAACAAGCTGGGGAGGTCTCCGGCATGGAGACCCTGGGCTGAAGGTTGATCTGATGCGCCGCGTACCGAACCGCAAACGGCCACAGAAAATGGGGGGCAGCCGCATGCATCATGGACGTACGGGCGACGTCCATGACCATGCCAATACGGCGCTCAGCAATCCCATTTTGCTGTGGAGAGTCCGGAAGCGTGAAGGTCTAGCGGATGCCTCGTGCACGACAGTAGGCTCGCAGAAGGCCAGAGGAGAACTCTCCACCTCTATCAGAGTGCAGATGTAGAACAGGAAAGTCCGAGCCGAAGCTCCGCCTGAGCTGGAGACGAGCTGCGCGGATCCAGTCGATCAACACCTCAGTGACATCACCCTTGCTGCGCAAGGGGAAGACTGTGGTGTAACGTGAGTAGTCGTCAACCACCAGCAGGAAGTAGCGCTCGTGAACCTGTCCACGGACGCGGGCTGGGCCCCACACGTCCATGTGAAGCGTCTGCAGCGGGGCCTCTGTCGGAGGAAACTGGGAGGAGTGAGGGGTAGCACGCTGCCGCCCCTCGACACAGGGGACGCAGGTAGGGCCAGGCCCCGGAGGAAGGGGAGGGAGGGACCGGGGAAGACCAGAGACAAGGACACGGGAGGCCATGCTTTGGAGACGAAGCAGGGAGGGGTGACCAAGGCGGTGGTGCCATAGGAGAGTCTCGTGAGACAGGAGGCGACACGAGCAGGGGGCAGACTCAGGACCAGACCTGGACGCTGCAGCTAACACCTGACCCGACGCAGCTACCTGACCAGACGCAGGGACTGGAGGAGATGCAGTGGTCAGTGTGTACAGGCTCGACCCCGGCCGACGGGTAAACGTGGCCAGGTGTCGGCCTGTCCGAGCGTCCGTGCAGTGGGTCACCCGCTGACTCGCAGGAGTGAACTGGTGAACCCCCGCATCCTGTAGGTCAGCACCACTCACCAAGTTCGTCGAGAACGAGGGGAGGTAAAGACCAGACAGGGTGCCAGAGGGGGCCGCCGGACAAGGGAGGACAGTGGAGAAGTGAGCAAGGAGAGGACCCCCAGAGGGGTCTGCCAGGGAGACCGCAACTGGCCAACCAAGCAGCGTGAGTGTGTTGCGGTCTCGAAAGAAGGAGCAAGAAGCCCCCGAGTCAAGTGTGAAGGTGTGGGAGGCCGAAGCCGACGCAGTACCTGAGAGTGCAGACTCACCAGTACCGGAGGAAGTAGACGCACTAGCACCTAGAGCAGCAGCCTCGCTAGCACCAAGAGCAGCAGCCTCACCAGCACCTAGAGCAGCAGTCTCAATGCCCGGGTCGGGCGGGAAACACCGGTAACAGTCACCCTCCTCACAAATAGACACAGTGTACATAGCAGCAAGAATGGCATCCAAGTCAAGGTCAAAGATAGCTACCCTTGCCCTAGACAGCTCGCCCCATCGAGGGATCTCAGTGGCCTCAGGGAACTGGTGTCGCCAAGCGTCCGTCAGGTGGCCAAAGCAGCGCTGGGTGGGGTGCGCACCCCCACACTGCTCACCCGCACGGTCGGGTGC